CTAAAGAACAACAGGGCTAAAGACAAAACTGTAGAAAATCTCCAGTAGGGGGAAAAAGCACAAAAAGAAATAGTAAAAAAAAAAAAAAAAATACGAGACTAAATAAACCAAATAGAAGACATGGTGAGTAACTTTAGCTTCTTTCACAAACAAAAAGCTTCAAGAAGGCAGTGGGTAGTTATCAAGTGAAGCAGGAAGACCAAGGAGGAGGAGGAAAGAGAGTTGGATTTGGCCATTAGGGGTAACTAGTATTCTTTGTGAGTGCAAACTCAGCAGAATGATGGGAACAGAAATGAGTTAGTAGAAGCAGAAGTAAGGTAAAGAAACCAGAAATTCAACTGCTAAAGGAAGAGAAGAGCCAGTCACTAGAATACAGTGGCTAGCACACTGAGTATTTAATAAATGTTCAGTGGCTAAAGAAGCAAACAAATGAACAAATGAATATAGCAGAGTCAAGAGCTGTATGATGAGGGAAAGATGGTATTAGGAAGACTTTTATGGCAGAAGGGTGTGAGTAATAGGTTCCAAAGAAGAAGAAAGAATTTAAATGTGCCTCCAAATGAATATAATTTTTTTAATTAGGTGGAAAAGCAGGAAGGAAAGCTGCAAATGAAAATAAAGGCAGAGAAACTAGCAGCTACCACCTTCCATTCTGCCCTTAAAACAAGAGAACAAAAAGCTGAAGTCAAAGCAGAAATATTCAAGAGTTGGATGGAATGAGAAGCAAACAAGCTTCTATTCTTTTAATAGTAAGCAAGGACGTGAAGAGTTGAGTTTAAAGATCCTTCCTTCTAGCCAAAATATAGTCAAAGCTAAAGTAAAAATGGTAAAGATATTAACAGAGGGAGTAAAAATGCCCACAAAATGTTGCAGGCAAGTTCACTAAGGATAAATCATAGGCCTACTGAGACTGGGCAGTTTCAAACGTAAAGTTCCCCAGAATATATTTTATAAACGAATAAATTTCAGTTGTGTGGCCTTGGTGTTCCCAAGAAAATACTAACTACCATATCAATAAATGACACTAGTCAGTAGTAAATAAAGAATCTGTGAAAGAAAATTACTAAAAGATTTATAGATACATAAAGTATTAAAAGTGGTCCAAAAGTTATCAAGATAAATACCAAATATATGGGGTATACTTTGCAATAGGGACAAAAATCTCACTAAGATGTTTTATTAGGCAGCACAATTTACAAGACTGCACAAAGTAACCCAAGAAATTTGAAAGCACAAGTAACATTCCTCTGTAGTAAAAATAAGGTATTTTTATTTTAACTCCTTCAATACAGACAATGAAAACTGAGTAATTAAAAATTTTTTAATAATGGAGAAAAATGGTAATCAATACTTGGGGTTAATGAACCATTACAAAATAATAAAGATTATAGTATTTATAAAAGTACAAAGTGGTTCTTTCTAAAAATTTGAAAAGTGCCTGATATTAAACCCAAGATGAAAGACATTTAATCTAACCATGAATCACATTTTAAAAAAGAATTTCTATTAAAATGTAAGGTAACTCTATTTCCATGCTAATAAAAATCAAAATAAGTTCTGATAAATTTTCTTTTAAAAATAAGCATAAAGCAATTCTAACACAGCTGTGATATGGTAGATGCCCTAAAACTTGATTCACACACACAACATGTATATAAATAAATGATATAAATATGTCATATATATAATGCCAGTTGATAAGAAGCTTTGAGACAAAACTTAAGTAGTTACATTTTATGGATACACGCAGAAAAGAATATTTTCATTTAACAGTTTGGGTTCAGAGATTAAATCATGTTTCCACATTTGCTATTAAAGATCTAAAACTATATACAACTACCCAAAACTAAGTATCATCTTTGAAAATTAGAAATATGATTTTCATGAAATGTTGGGGGTGGTGGTAAGGGAAGACACAGGGTAGAAGTATATGCAAAAAAGTACTTCCCTTCTGCAAATAAATGCCTGAGCTTTTTTTTTAATATCAAAGAAATTCTTATAAAATGTCATATGAATAAGGAACACTCAATCACACTGCAATCTTCACTCTTCCTAATCTGAATTAAGAGTCAGAGTTAATAAGAACAAGCTCCAAAAGATAAAAATCTCAATGTACAGCAACCTAAGGGTACAGACATCAGTGTAGTGGTTGTCCCTAGGGAACCTGACTATAAACTGGCACAAGAAAATTTTATAGGATGATGGAAATGCTCTGTGTATCTTCACTGGGGTGTTGGTGACACAGTACAGACATTTGCCAAGACACATAAAACTCACTTATATCTGTAAATTGTTGTCTCTGTAATTATACTTCAATTTTTTTAAGTAAAAAATAAAATGCGTAGGTATAAACAGAGTTGGATTATATGGAACATACCTACCACCACAGGCAAAAGGATACGTTTAAATCTGAGTAACAAGCAACCTCAATAGACAACTGGTATGATTACCTAATCATCTCAAAATGCCTTAACATCCAATATTACTAAAAATGAATTAATTATATTTCACAAACAACCTCAAAAAGTAATTAATATTCAACACCACACAGTGAATCAATTTGTTTATTTACTTAGTAGTACATTTAGTAACCAATTCATCACAGATTTACTAGAAAGCTACATTGCTTAAGATCAGAAAGATATTCAAGGGAGCAATACTGAAGGTTTTAAACAATGAACAAATGGACTAATACTAATAAGTGATAAGCTAATATCGAGTATTTAAAATGTGCCAGGTACTGTTCTAAATGCTTTCCCCCTATTAACTTATTCTATCCTCATAGCAACCCACAGAAGGAGACATTCTTCCTATTCCCATTTCATAAATGAAGGAAAGTGAGGTACCCTGAGGTTAAGTATCCTGTCAGGAGTACCCAGGTCAAACTCTGGCAGTCTAGCTAGAGACAACTTTCTAAATCACTTTGTTCTACTGCCTTTTTAGAATCAGTTGCCTTGAAAATTTCTAGGTTAAAATAAAGGTTGTGCTTTATAAAATGGAACCTTGGGGTCTTCACTGATTCCTTACTCATTTATATTGCATAGTAGTCCCAGAATGATTTTTAAAGAACAACTCTGGCTTTGCTTGCAAGTACTTACAAGCCCACCGTAAGAATACTGGATGGCTTACTCATCTGTCCGTGTAATTAAGCTTCTTTATACTTTTATTCTATACTTTTTTTTAATAAAACTTCATTGTCTACTCATTTAATTTTTAAGTGAGCGCATCCTAACCTTATTTCTCACCACAGAACACTGAAAGAGGAGCTCTGTGATATATGAAGCCATACAGAGCATTCTCTGGTGATAAGTACTTATCAAAAGTCTTGCATTCCAAAATAATAATTCTTATTTCAAGAAGCTGACAGCTGGAACCATACAAATAGTGTTCAAATACAATTTCAAAGACTGTATATTACTTAATAATTGTTTTCAAAAGCCTGCCATTTTGAATAATTCAGTATCTTGCTGTGTAACTATAACCTATTCTACAAAAATCCAGTGAACTGCAGCTGCAGCCCTCTGACTGGGAAGCTCTGCTCTCAGGTATAGGAAAAGAACAGCTGCCCACCTCAAATAAGCTGCTATTCAACTCCTTTTAACAGCCTAGTTGAGAAAAATATTATTTCTGGAAAACTGAATTGTCCAAGGATTTCATGTTTTGTCCTTAGTGTGAAATGAACCATTAAAAAGACCCAATACACCTTGGGTCTTGAATGCGTTGTACCTACATAACCCATTACAAACACCAAGGTACATTTTCAAGCTACACTTTGCATTTTCTTGAAGGCAACTTAAGAAACAACATTATGAAATCTGTTACCACAGTCACTCTAAAGATATTATCAAGAACAGAGCCTTATATGCAATGTTCAAAAAGCTCTGCTTCCTTGATACAAGTAAGCCTTCTCCTCAAGGATTAGGAAAATACATAAAGTGCCATATTTCCTTTTATGCCCTAGCCAGCAAAAACCTCAAAAACTTATTTAAGAGTGAACTAAATAAGCTATGCTTGACTTTAGAGCCTTAAGATCTCTTGGCTATTTTTTACAAGTATTTCTGATTTAATTTTTTTTAATATTTAAATCTTGGCTCTATCTAGAATTTACTTTGGCATAAATATGTCTTTAGCCCAGAAGTTTTACTTTCTTTAACCAAATCTTTATTTATTTATGACCCACCACGCCCCAGCATTATATTCTATTCTTTCACCCTTACCTCACCCTATCCCTGCCAATTCCTGTGTTCTTTTTGTTTTTTTCTGATTAGAGGTATGTATGAGTATCACTTAAGTTCACCACATATATTTGTGTATTGAGCCTTCATACTGACTAAAAGTAATTCAAAGAGAGCATTAAAAAAAGTTGGAATAATTTCACTGTGAATTACAAAATTAAAACCAGCCGAAATAAACATTTTTATTTTAGCAGTTAACCTTAAGGATCAGAAAGTAAGATTTTGAAAATTTAAGACTGTCACACTGTAAAAATGGCAAGCCCTTAAAATTACAAATTTATCTCTAACACAGCTAAACCAACTCAAAACAAATCCAAATCAGTCACTAGAACATTTGCTAACTGGGCTATCTTCGAACTACTGGGCCCTGTCTGAAAATCAAGAACACTTCTGTACAAAAGGGAAATCCTTCAAGTCAGTTCTTAGGCAAGAGGTGATTTATTTTTTATCTTTATCCAGGCTCCCTCTACTGACAGAAAAACAACACCACAAATTTCATTAACACAAGGAAAAGGAATTGATTTTTTTAAAGATTTCAAAAGCAACATTTTAAATAAGAATAGATCAAAAACTGAGTTCACTACAGACCCAAGAAGATATAAACATTTGAGAGTGGACATTTCAGGTAACAGCCAAATTTTATATCTGGCACATGCCATTTCAACATACTCCATTTTCAGTGTTAATCCTTAGATGCAAGAAGGGTTAAAGATTTTAAATGCATTTTAGATATTGTAAATAATCTCTTAGTAAGGAAATGTTTACCTGTATCTGTTCTGGTGTCCATTGGTCTAGGTTGACTGACTTGACCCTGGATATATGAACCCCAAGATTTCTATGGATTCCAGCACATCTGATGCAAATAAATACACCAATATTCCAGGAAGCCCATCGAGGACCTAATTAAGGAGAAAAAACAAAGATAAACAAATATTAAAAACTAAAATAAATATTATGGCAGCTTTTAAGCAGCATTCTGATTTTTTACAAAATTATAATGGAGGCTTACAGAATTTTACATGCTCAAATTTTCAACTGGCACCAGCAGCAAGGTTATAAATCAACCTTCAAGAACTTTAATGAGTTTACTAATTTTGCTTTTCTAGAAACTTTCCCAAATCTGTCTAAGAATTTAAAACTAATTTATGTGAACCAGGAATGGTAATACCCCACAGTAAAAAGTTCTTTATTAAATGTGTAAGGTGTTCCTTAAAAGATTAGCAACAAATATAAATCAGAGTTTTTAATGAAATGTAGACATTAGTAAGAAACACACAACCAACTAAAAGAAAAATGTGCAAAAAGATATGAATGGGTAATTCACAGAAGAAATGTAAAGACCAATAAACATAAACATATATGAGCTCACTAGTAGGGAAAATGCCCTTTAAAACTACAACAAACTCCATTTTACATTCAACACATTGGAAAAAATTTTTTAATCAACTAAATGTTAGAAAGACTGAGAAACAGTAAGGTCTGCCTCAAGAAGCCTTAAAACAACATGAATAAATCCTAAATATAACCCTGAATTAAGAAAAGTTATAAACTATGGTGCGCTATAAAACATAAAAAATTCTGAAAAACACGGTAGAGAAACTCACAGAAGGATACAAGAACACAAAGCCTTAGGTGTACTATTCTTTATGTCTTTGAATGTATTTTCTTGATAATTTTAAATATTCTTTTTTTTAATTTAAATTCAATTAGCCAACATATAGTACATTAGTTTTTGATGTAGTGTTCAAAGATTCATCAGCTGTGTGTAACACCCAGTGCTCATCACATCACGTGCCCTCCCTAATGCCCGACACCTAGCTACCCCATTCCTCCACCCACCTCCCTTTCCGCAACCCTCAGTTTGTTTCCCGGAGTCAAGAGTCTCCCATGGTTTGTCTTCCTCTCTGATTTCCTCCCATCCAGTCTTCCCTCCCCTCCCCTATGATCCTCTGCACTATTCCTTACATTCCACACGAGTGAAACCAGATGATAATTGTCTATCTCTGACCGACTTATTTCACTTAACATAATTCCCTCCAGTTCCATCCATGTCGATGTAAATAGTAGGTATTCATCGTTTCTGATGGCTGAGTAATATTCCATTGTATGTATATATATATATATATATACCACATCTTCATTCATCTGTTGAAGGACATCTCGGCTCCTTCCACAGTTTGGCTATTGTGGACATTGCTGCTATGAACACTGGGGTGCAGGTGCCCCTTCGGATCACATTTGTATCTTTGGGGTAAATACCCAGTAGAGCAATTGCTGGGTTGTAGGGTAGCTCTATTTTTAACTGCTTGAGGAATCTCCATACTGTTTCCCAGAGTGGCTGCCCCAGCTTGCATTCCCACCAACAGTGTAAGAGGGTTTCCCATTCTCCACACCCTCTCCAACATCAGTCGTTTCCTGTCTCATGAATTTTAGCCATTCTAACTGGTGTAAGGTGGTATCTCATTGTGGTTTTGATCTGTATTTCCCTGATGGCAAGTGATGTGGAGCATTTTTTCATGTGTCTGTTGGTCTTTTGGATGTCTTCTTTGGAAAAATGTCTGTTTATGTCTTCTGCCCATTTCTTGACTGGATTATTTGTTTTTTTGGGGTGCTGAGTTTGATAAGTTCTGTATAGATTTTGGATACTAGCCCTTTATCTGATATGTCATTTGCAAATATCTTCTCCTATTCCATAGGTTGCCTTTTAGTTTTGTTGACTGTTTCCTTTGCCATGCAGAAGCTTTTCATCTTGATGAAGTCCCAATAGTTCATTTTTGCCCTTGTTTCCCTTGCCTTTGGTGATGTTTCTAGGAAGAAGTTGCTGCAGCCGAGGTCAAAGAGGTTGCTGCCTGTGTTCTCCTCTAGGAGTCTGATGGATTCCTGTCTCACATTTAGGTCTTTCATCCACTTTGAGTTTATCTTTGTGTCTGGTGTAAGAGAATGGTCCGGTTTTATTCTTCTGCATGTGGCTGTCCAATTTTCCCAACACCATTTATTGAAGAGACTGTCTTCTTTCCATTGGATATTCTTTTCTGCTTTGTCGAAGATGAGTTGACCACAGAGATGAGGGTCCAATTCTGGGCTCTCTATTCTGTCCCACTTATCTATCTGTCTGTTTTTGTGCTAGTACTATGCCATCTTGATGATCACAGCTTTGTAATATAGCTCGAAGTTAGGCACTGTGATGACCCCAGCTTTGGTTTTCTTTTTCAACATTCCCCTGGCTATTCAGGGTCTTTTCTGGTTCCATACAAATTTTAGGATTGTTTGTTCCAGCTCTGTGAAAACTGTAATTTTAAATATTCTTATGATTATTTTCATATATTGCTTGTATAATTAAAGTAAAAACCTGGAAAAATAAAATATCTGACAATTATGTCAACTATTCAGAAGCTTATACCTTTCATAAATCACCTGATTATGAAAAAAATATATACAGCACATCAATAAAAACCAAACTTTTTAAAACATTTATTAGACTTCTGTTTTAAGTACATATTTTTTATCTAAAGGTGAGATTTAATCGACAAAATAACACTGAAGCCAGTAATTCCAATGCAGTAAAACTAAACACATTCCTCTCCAAAATTCTTTGGGAAGTAGTTCATGCATATACAATTTATACCAAAATATCCTGCTTTTAAGTTTGAGAAGTGACATCTATAAACTGACAAACATTTGGGACATGTTTTCTTTAAATGTCTGATTGCTGAAAGCATGGACATGAATTAAAGACCAAAGACCTGTATTGTCAACCTACTCTGCCCTCACTGAGCTACACGAATTACCCCACACTAATAACGAACCGAGCTACAAGGTTCTCATGTTAAGTGGAGTCAGGATTGGCTGCCTCATTACTTAGGTGAGTCTTGTACAGAAAACAGTTTGAAAGTTTTAAAGCACTACTTAAGTGCAAGTTATTGTCATCTTAAGAAATTTTGAAAATCAAAATACAATACGTTCCTACTCTAGAAAAGTTTCTACACTGGTCTGCAAAACAACTGTATCTTAAAATTTCCTCAGAAACAATTCCCAAAAGGGCAGTGAACCCAGAGCGTGATGGGAAAGGATTTTCAACACTCTCCAAGTATTGGCTTCATTTTTCTTCTTAAAATAGAATGATTCCCCTCAAAATATGTTAGACCCATAGCTAAATACAAATGGAGATTTTCTCTACAGCACAATTTTTCTGATGCAGCAAATGTTATGACTAAATGAATTAATTAGAAAGCATCATTTGTGGGGTGCCCGGGTGGCTCAGTCAGTTGAGCATCTGACTCTTGATTTCAGCTCAGGTCATGGTCTTGGGGTCATGGGATTGAGCCCTGTGTCAAGCTCTGCACTCAGCATGGAGTATGCTTGTCCCTCTCCCTTGGCTCCTCTCTCTCTCTCTTTCCCTCCCTCAAATAAATAAATAAATAAAATCTTAAAAAAAAAAAAAAAGCAAGCAAGAAAGTATCATTTGCACCATGTCACAGTAACTGTCCATGCAGGTAAAAAGTTGTAGCACCAAATAGAGTGGTGCATTTTTACAATAACCAAAGATAATAAAGGGATCAAATGTATAAATGCAAAATACAAGAATAATGCTTAGCAGTAATAGAAAAAAATGGGCATATTACTATTGAACAAAAAGCCAGATATAATTAAATGTTAAGTGGTGTTCAGGTTTTACACAGCTTTACACACTGCTAGCACTTATGGGAAATGTCAGCCCCAATCGTTTTTTACCAATTTAAATAATGCAATTTTGTCAATGCATCTTTCTTTGGAATATAGCTATTGCATCTTAACCAATATAGTTAGGCACCTTCAAAAATAAACTTTTAAAAGCCTAACCAAAATTACAATTGGGTTATCCACTCTATAAAATTAGGTAAAATTTACCTAAAATTGATAAAATAATAGCTGTTCAACATGGTAGTCATTCAAGTATTGGTATGAAATCTTCATTTTCATTCCCCAAACTATCGGTGAATACTTACCAACTCTGTGCCAAGTAAATGCTATTAAAAATAGACACAAAGGTAAAAAGCTAAGTTCCCAGACTCAGGAGGCCAAGACAAGTATAAATATGTATAACAATTTAAAAAACAATTTGGTGAAATCTAGTAAAGTTCTAGATGAATAAACCCCTCCACCAGGCAATCTATTCATACTTACACACACACACACAGATTGACCAATTTATATATGTAATATGACATATCTAGGTACACGTACACAGTCACATATAACATACCCTACAGCAGTTATTTTAAATGGCAGATCACAACTCATTAGTTTAATCTCAACAAGTATTTTTTTTAAGATTTTATTTATTTATTTGACAGAGAAAGAGCATGAGCAGGGGGGAGGAGCAAGGGGAGAGGGAGAAGCAGGCTCCCCGCTGAGCAGGGAGCCCAATGCAGGGCTCGATCCCAGGACCCTGGGATCATGACCTGAGCCAAAGGCAGACACTTAACCAACTGAACCACCCAGGAGCCCCCAAGTATTTATTTTTAAAAGAGAAGAGAAAAAGTTATGAGTGCATCACACAAAGGGTAAAAATAGTTTTATTAAACTTTTTTAAAAAATCAGTAACATACAGGGGCGCGTGGGTGGCACAGGCAGTTGAGTGGCCTACTCTTGGTTTGCACTCCAGGGGTGATCTCAGGGTCATGAGATCAAGCCCCACACATTGGTCTCCAAGCTCAGCATGGAGTCTGCTTGGGACTCCCTCTGCCCCCACCCCCACGTGAGCACACTCACGCATGTACTTTCTATCTAAAATAAATAAATCTTTTAAGAAATCAGTAACATGGGCGCCTGGGTGGCTCAGTTGGTTAAGCGACTGCCTTCGGCTCAGGTCATGATCCTGGAGTCCTGGGATCAAGTCCTGCATCGGGCTCCCTGCTCG